GATTTCAATGGAAATGGATCTTTTAGAGTACCAATCCAAATTAACAACTGAACATTCAGAAAGTGTTATCCAATAGGCGCGGCAGACCCATGCGTACGCGTATGTCCCATAAGCACACACGTTTAACACTCCTGGAGACGCGGCACAAGTCCTGAATATTGAAACAAATTTTAATTTCTTTTGATTCGACTTTTAAAATCTTGATTGATTTGCTATACAATTATCCAGGACTTTCATGTACATGTATTGTTTGTACGCAAGCTGCCCTTTAGAATAATAGGACTACTAGAATTTGCGCATGCATCTGTATGAGCTAAAACTATTGAAAGTCTTTCGCGTGTACAGCGACATGGATCATAATTAAGCCATGTTGAGCCAATAGGTTCTCAAAGGTTCTATTGCTTATATATACACAATGGTCTATGCTCATTGAAAACTGCTGTTTGTGATTAATCCGCATAATCGAACCCAGTTTCTTAACCATAAAGTCAGTTCTTTTCTTTTAAATACATGGAACGTGCAAAATCCTAATGTGCGAACTTGAGTCACATTAATCTGGATGGAACTAGGCTCATCATTGTTGTTTTTAAAAGTTTATTAATTATTCTAACGCATACTGAACTAAAAGAGATTCTAGCATCGGTCTAAAATTCTTTGCAAAATAGATCTTAGGCCTATTCATGTTCCGTAACAGATACATTTTAACTATTTTGGTTTACTCGACAGATAATATATTTTGAGTATTCTTTTCACGGCTGCTGCTCTACAAACAAATAATATATTATTTAGGTCTAGTTGTAGTTATTTCCACCAAAAGTTAAACAAGATAAAGTTTGGTCAGTGGAGAAGAAATAGGCATAGAGTTTCCTCTTTAAGTATTGGAGAATTATTTCTGTTTACGTATTACAAATTTAGTTTAGTAATTAGTCTTTTGTATGAATACATTCTGACCATTAAGTTGTTGGTCAATAAGAGTTACATAAAGTGTAGGAGTTATTATTAAAAACCCAAGGAATAATTCATCGCACATTGTTATTAGAGTTCGCATGTTTTACCAAGTAAATATTCATTTCAGCTACCCTTGAAATAAAATGATGTCCAAATCCTATAAATTCTTATATGTAAATTGCAAACAGAACGAATCTATAAAGAAGCGTATTTGCAGGCTGGCGCCCTTGCTGCACAAAAGAGTTGTATCCGCTACATAATTATTAGTGTATTAACTAACGCACCCAATATCCAGCGAATGAGTTGGTGGCGGAAAAGCGTTCAGTGTTCAGTGTTGTTTTGATATAACATGAATAACTGGCAACACAGTAAATTAAAAATATGCGGGCTACGTTCTGCGGTTACGTAACCGACTGTATGAATTCCATAGGCACGTTAGCTTTGTTCAAAGGCCATCGTTAATTGCATTTTGCGTTTAATTACATTGAAATCGATATTGCTCTTAGTTTTGCAAAATGACAAATGAAATGTTGGAAACTGGAATTAAACAAAATTGAAAGGCTTATGGTTGCCTGCTCGTACATTGCAATCTGTGACTTTCTGATCAATATCCGGATACATTGAATATTCATCTTCGCATTTTGAATATAAGGGATGAAGGCAATGTATAACGTTAGCAAGAGAATTGCTTGAGAGATAGTTTAATACGATAACCGTCGAGTAGATGAAAACACTTGAAATGAACTTACGCCACTTAAACACAACATGCAATTGTTAATCATTCTCATCAAAACTAGCATCGTTGTGGATTAATCACTCAGGCATAAAGTAAATAAAGTTCAAATAAAAATTTAAAAAAAAAAGCACATTGCTTTTAAATTTTCCCATAATTGTTTATGTTGTAAACTTGGTTTTCTTCTATTCATATTTAATGGACCCGAACGGAAAGAAGCCTATGTTCTTGTGGCTTTTGGGTTTATCATGACTCGACTCGTGGTTATTTCTTGTATATTTCTATGTATACCTTGTATGATTGTAGTTTTTTTCAGTACAAATAAAGAATGAACGAATATCAATCGAGAAAGTTAATTTTTAGGCAAAGGGAACAATAGGCCTACAAAGTACAAATTCCTAGAATTGAAAGCTGCATTAATATGTACACTAAAAAACTGAAAAGCACCTCTAACTACAATTTAAAAAAAACATAACTAAATCAAATGATTTTAGGCCCATGATAACATTTTACAAACGGTTTTATAGAGTATAATTTTTTTTTAAATCGATTTACCGTTCTCCGTTTCGTTTCTCCAATATAATTATGGTATAATTCGCACACTTTGATGATGGCTTAACAAGATTAATTATAGCTCTATGACTTGCATAAAACAGTCACCTGCCTTGATGAACCTATAAAATAGTTGAAAAGAAATAATCACAGACACTGCATCTTGGTCACCTGTTACAGGCAATAGTATTAGAAGAATTTGGAATGTACCGGTAGATTTTTCCCATTTTTTTTTTGTAATGAGCCACATTCATTTATGTATCCCCAATCAGTACAATCAAATCAATAAATATAAATCCCTGCTACTGCTTTAAATATTGTTCCTCTCAAAGCCCAAATTAGCAGAACGTTACAATCATTTAAAATTTCATGAGCAAGTTTAGTTTCAAGAATCACTCTATAACTGCTTTCAAAATTAATTATAAACTATAAACAACAGATGTTTTAAACCAGGTTATTTAAAGCTCTTAAGTCTCGACATTCTAGTACCTGTACATCACTTGATTTATTACAGTATCTTATTTTTTTTCCGTCTAATTCTATATAGTAATTCAGTGTTTGTAAATAGTAAGGACTTTATTGGGAAAAAATGTATTTCGTTTCAAGGCCTTTTTTATGTTGTATATTCAATACGATATCCTAAATAAATATTTTTCAAATAACAAATAAAACAAATCACAATTATGTTTTATAGGTAATCATTTTTATATTATATAGGCCTATAATTATGTTTTTCCTTTTGTAAGATACCTCAATGATTATCCTACATTTTATGTTTTTTTCTTTACTTGTTGAAAAGCCTTATCTTTCATACAAACCGTGAATAGTTTATCAATCGGCACATGTTAACAAAATAATATAATTTTGTTTGATAAGTTTTTGATGGTTTTCATTTGTTAATTTGAAATGCTCTCTTCTATACCGTACACACTTTGACGATGGTTTTAATAATATGGAGGACTCGGGTCACGGCGTCTTAGGATGAGATTACGATGATAATACGTTTCTCTCCTTTCTCTCTCGTCCTGTTTCTGTAAGCACACAAAGGTTGATTAACAATAAATTTGTGGATTCATGAAGTCTTGTAGTTGTTTATTAATTATAGCAATAGTTTAGTAATGATAGTAAGTTAAGTTCAGGAAAATATGCATTATTGTGGGAAGTTGTAAAGAGTCGCCTGAATATCCTTGTCTTTACTAAAGAGTAGTCTTCTCTTGATTTGTAGTTTGAATATAATTTCGTTC